GACATGGTGAATATGTTGCTCAAGGGATGAGGAGTAAATACTTCATGAACGTTTGAAAGATAGATGGGCTATTGGCTAGTCTGTAAGGCATCACTGAATATGCATATTGTCCAGTGTGATTTATGAAAGAGGTCTTCCACTCGTCCTCCTTTCTAATCCGTATTAGATTATATGTGTGCTGCAGGCCTAGCCTGGCAAATATCACTGCATCGCATAATTTCTCAAAAGATGAGGGGATTAGAGGCAAGGGCTCCCTCCATTTAACCGTGATATCATTTAGGGTATGGCAGTCAATACATGGCCGTAATCCTCCATCCTTCTTCTTGAGAAAGAAGAACTCGGAGGTCACTGGTGATGTAGACAGACAGATGATACCTTGTCACAAGCCTTCTTTGATGTGTGTGATTGCCGCTTCTTCCTCTGGTCAGGACAGGGAAAACAGATGACTCTTAGGAAGCAGAGCCTCCTCCAGGAGCTGAATGGAGGACCAATGGGGGGGAAGCTGAAACGATCGGGACTTACTGAACACATTCAGGTAGTTTTGATATTCCACCGGAATCACAGTGAGCACCTCTGATTCTGGGCTTTCAATGAAAGATCCTTGACAGGGAAGTGACATATACTGCTGGAAACAGAATGGAGACCAGTGGCCTGTACTACGAAGCGGGGTTACTGGCTTATCGGGGTAACTTGACTGATTTAAGGTAATCTGGGTAAAATGTAAGTGAACAAATATGAAGTCCATTTAAACTGTGGTATCATAAATCCGACAAGTTACCGCAATAAGTCAATAACCCCACTTTGTAGTACAGGTCCCAGGAGAACATCTCACCCGAATGGGGATTGTGTTCTCTCAGCCAAGGATATCCCAATATTATGGGATCTCAAGTGGAAGTTATAACAAAGAGCTGGAGTTGTTTTCTGTGCGGCAGCCCCACCTGTAGCACCAGGGAGGCTGTACAGTGCATGGTCTTCTCAGATTTGAGGGGTTGTTAATCTATCTCATGCACTGTGAGAGGGGTGGACAGTTTTTCAAGTGGGAGATTTAAACAATCAGCGAGGGAGCAATTTATAAAACTTCCCGCAGCCCTGGAGTCCAATACAGTGTTAACCACAACCTTTTTTCCCCATTGAACAATAGCACTGGAACTGTCATAAGGGCTTGAGTAATCCCCAGAATAACCAAAGGTCCAACCTTAAAGGAGTCTTCGTGATGAGCTGGGACTTTCCGCAATAGAGGCAGAGGCGATTCTGGTAGCGCTGTTGCTTCTCTACTGCAGTTAGCAGAGTGCGGCCAAGCTGCATGGACTCTTGCTTGTCCATGGGAAGATTCAAGCTGGCTGCTTGAGCTTTGAGGCCACCACGGTGGCGGCAGGGGTCATGGATGGTATTATCCTAAGTAATGGAGAGCCAGACATACTCACCAAATGAGAGATCCTCCCCTCGCGACGCGAGATCATCCTGCAGCTCAGGGAACAGCGCACGGCAGTCATCTGGCTACCTAAGACCCACTGCAATCATTTGTAATTCAAGGGAGAAGTTGCTGGCTGTCTTCGTGCCCTGGCAAAGATTGCATAGGTGGTCCCCTAGGCTATGACCCATGGCGGGGTGATCAAACACCTCCCAGAAGGGATGTTTGTGTGGGGTCCATGATTTGCAAGGCAAAGTATTCTGTCATGACCAGGAGGCAGGAAGGACAGGGGAGGGGGAGGAGAACAAGATCTCTATTAAAGTACCGAGGCAAACAGAATCCAAAACGAGAGGCAACAGGTGTAGTCAGGAAGGCAGGTGTAGGAAGTCCAGTGGTCAAAAGGTCAGTCCTACAATGATCCACAAGACAAGGAACAGGTAGGACAGGCAGGGAATGGGCGAGGCAGGAACTGGCAGGGCAGGAATGGGTGAGGCAGCAACAGACAGGGAAGGATCGGGCAGGGCAGGAACAGGCAGGGCAGGAATAAACAGTCGGATTCACACAGGAGAGACAGGGTTAGAAGAACGTTTGGTAAGATGCATGGAGGCAACAATATTTCACACTGGGTGTGCGAGCGGGTGAGCCTTATATAGGATGGTGAGGGTGGAGAGTTGATTTCCACTTAGGTCTTGTGCCCCGCCCTTCGAGATGTGACAAAAGTGAGATGCATTTTCAAGAAACAAAAAGATCAGGAAGGTAGCTGGCCCTGTTTGCATCTCACCAGGCTATGTGCACAATGCTACATTTTCATTTAAAGACTTGGATATTAGTCTCAGTTTTTTGCATTTCATCCACATTACCCCTGAGTCCTGAGTCCGGAGTTTTCAGCCACCAAAAATGAAGACTTTTGTAAATGCTGTCACAGCCATATAGGTTTGAAAACTACATTTTAGCATTGCAGCATGAAAGAAAAGGTAAACTTTTGAAAATGCAGACTCTATAACTGCCCCAATTGGGCCCTACTTATCTTATTGTCTGATTGGTAGGCATGTAACAATGAATCGCGAATCGGTCAAAAATCTAAGTAAATGTATGACAATTTAAACCCGCTGATGTGGAAAATGAAGCGCTATTTTAGGAGTACTTAACAGTACTTTACTTAACAGAAAAACTGTGTAATATTACATTTGATTTCATGACGTCAGTTTGACGTCAGATGTCACTACATATATACGACGACGTGATACATCGTTTTTGGATTTGACCAAACACAAGATAGTGAGCGAATTTGAACTTGAGGGCGCACAGCCCGATCTTAAAATGGCAGCATTTTATACTTCCAGTAATCACATACGAAAACGGAGCGAAAACCACAGACAAGACAAAAACTGCATGCAAACATTGTAAAAGACTCATAACATACACAAATAGCACAACGAACATGCTTCAGCATGTCCACCGGCACCACAGTGAGCTCGATTCAACACCGCCAGAGCGAAGATTATTAAAAGGGCAAACCACGCTAAAAAGATGCACATGCAAGCCTTAGTTTATTTACTTGAAGATTTTTCTATTTACTTATTTTGATTTGGGATTTTTTTAAAACAGTATTTTATTCAATTTCAGTTGCACTGTTAAGAAGAAGACACGTTTTGCACAGTTTAAAAAGATAAAGGAATATTTTAAAATAAATTTCTCTGCAGCTCCTTCTGTTAAAAAATCGTGAGAAAATCATATTGTGAACTCAGAATTGTGAATTGTATCAAATCGTGAGTTGAGTCCATCGCTACATCCCTACTGATTGGTTACCTGGTCATCCTAAACGGAAGTAAACAGTATACCAATGTGGCAGATATGGAGGAGCTGCTTTCCATGACATATTCCCTATTGTTGACCAATATGCAGTTAAATAGCATGTTATAGTCAGGGCCGATGCCCGTCTGACCCTGTCCAATGTATTCCATTTTGACCAGCAGGTGTCACTGGTCATCTTGTTTCCCCCCTTCCCTCTTGTAGCCTTCAGTCTTAGTTTGTCTCCTTGTTTTGTGGTTCACCGCGTAGCTCAATGGGTTGAGCATGCAGGTCAGAGGCTGAAACCCTCCGGTCGCAGGCTTCTTTTGCTTGCTTCTTGGTTTTCTATTTTCTTAGTGTTTGTTATTAGTTTTTTGCTTCGCTGTTTTGGTTTGCCCTGTTGTGTCCTGTTTGATTTTGGTTTTGCTTGTATATGTTCCTAGCCTTTCCTAATGTAGTCAGCCCTCCGTGTTTATGTTCCCTGGTGTTGTTCATTGGCAATTTATTTCACCTGCTTGTTGTCCTGCACCTTGGTTGATTGGTAAATTTTTGTGATGGTCCACACCTGTGCTTTGTTAGTCTTCACTATCTATGTATTTAAGTGCTTGCCCTCATTCTGTTCCTTATAGAGTCATTGTGTTTGTTAGGTTTGTAGAGGTCTCAGGTTGTGATGATGTTATTGCGCGTTTTTAGACATTGTAATTACTTCCCTGTGTCTGTTATCTGTACTTATCTGTAGTCTTGGTTGTTCTTTAATTCTGTTCCTGGTGTTTGCCCTGTTCCATTCCATTTAGTTCAAGTCTTACCTTTTTCTGTTTTGTTAACAAACCCCTTGTTGCGTAGAGCCATACCGTGGATCATCACTCCTTTCCTGCCTGTGCCATGCCTAGCTGTAACAGTTACAGTATGTCTGCTGCACATTTATGTCAAAGAAACAAATTTACTGGCCACTGTGTCAATGCGTGCATGCCCAACGTAGGCTAATAGCAACGTCATATACATTTTCGCTCATTGCAGTGTATATATAAATACTTTTGTGAATGATGTCAAAATGCCTGCAAGTTTGGAGATCATTATAGTTTGAAAAGTAAGCAGTATGGACTGTTACCAACACGGGTATGGTGCAGGCAGGGAAAAGAAGGTGGACGATTCACTCCAAGACAAAAGGGATTTATTAAACAAAAACAGAACACACTGGGAAAACACAAAATAAAAGGGACCACGGTGGGACAGTACTAAAGAGGACAAAGGGCAGGCACGTCAGTACACAAAGACAACAAAGAACGTTACCAATCAACCAATCAATGGAGGCACAGGGAAACAATTAAGCAGGCAACAGGTGAAACAAATAAACATACAGCCAAGACACTGGGGAACTAAAACACCATACATTAGGGAACCTTAACACAGGAATACAACACTAGGATTATAACACGACACAAAAGTGCAAGCGGGGGTATTCCTCAGCCAAGTATCTAAAGATAGCCAGACTTTCTAAAAAAAGTTAGACTCAAACTAGTGCCATCTGTAAACTTAGCCTCATGTCGTTCCACAAACGCAGTTCAGCTTTAACTAATCAAGGCTCATACAAGACAGATTTGCATAGTCTCACTTAGTGCGCACACCCGAGATATTTAAGAAGCCCAGATGAATGGATGAACGATAGATCGATGAAATGAGTCGGAAAGCCTGTAAAACAAGAGCGATGTTTTTTTCTGCTGCAGAACAAACGCTGCTGATGGAGCTGTATGAAGAATACAAAGATGTAATCACTAAAAAAGGCAATACCGTGCCCATAAATAAAGCCAGGGAGTTGGATTTGCAAAGAATTGCAGACAGACTAAATGCGTACGTATTTAAATGTTACAAATACCTGGCACGGTGGTACAGTTTGTTTATGATGTCGCCTTACATCGTGAAAGTTCCTGGTTCGATCCCCATAGCCAACGGGGAATCTTCTGGGTTAAGTTAATGTGTCATTCTTACTGTATATTGTTATTTTGTATTATTTGATCTCCGTAAAATTATTTCGATTGCATCCGTATTTAATGTTCTGCACAAATAACCGTATCTTGTCTTTGCTCTTTACTGATAAATTTTCAAAGTAGACTGTGACTAAACAAAATGTTTCCTGTTCATATTATTTTAACAGATTTTTTTTTTTTTTCAATTTCAGCCATTGCATTTCATGTTTGACCTTTGTAATATGGGCATACTTTAAATTATTCTGGAATTTACTAGAATGATAAGACATGATTTTTGGGGATATAGGCTTTATATATTGATTACATGACATGAGTAGTGAGAGCGCGGAAATTCGTCCGACGGAACGATCTTTTGGGAATCTGTTCCCGCACGTCGGATATCCTTTGAGATAACGCTTAACTAAGCAAGACAGTTAACCTGTGGCCTGTACTACGAAGCAGTGTTGCTGCTTTTAACAAGTTACCCCAATAAGCCAGTAACCCCGCTTCGTAGTACTCGTGGTCCGGAGCAGGCTTGCTCACTCGCCTAAGTTACCTTGGTAACTCAGCGGGGATTCATTTAAGACACGTTGATAGAACGGAACTCCCACTTAAATGAGCCCGACTTGTCAAAATAATCCTGCTTCGTGGAACCCCCCCCCCCCCCCCCGGGGCAAAACAAACCAAGCAGGGCACCCTTTGTGGGGGAAAAAAATATGCTAAGGTGCGTTAACAATGTGCTTTGAATACTACAAGTGTAATAAAATGCATTTCCCTTACACACACACACACACACACACACATATATATATATATATATATATATATATATATATACTTTCATTATGCCTATATGTACTTGGAAATTGTGTATTTTGCATTTAAACATGATTTAGTACTCTATGGCATCCTTGAATACACTTATCAATGACATTTTAGTGCATTTTCTAAAAGTTTATTTTAAACATATGATGTCAAAGTACTTTAAATGTACTTTGGAGCACTTTTTAGAAAGTATATTTTATTTTAAATGTAGTTTAGTGAACTGTAACATTCCACTATAAAAAAAAACACTTTTCTTAAATTTACTAAATGTAAACTTAAGTAGTTATAATTAGTTTTTGGGTTATTGATTTTTATACAAATTTTAATATGCTTAATTTAATCAATTTTTAATATTACCAATAAATACAAAAACATACAAATCACACAAACGCACAAATAAGTTATATTTTTAGGACGTATTGCTTTATTCAATAGTATAAATCATCAGCATAACAATTTTCTATCAATACAAAAGTTGCTTATACACCACAGTATAAGGTATAAATGCCATAAAAGTATATTGTCATAACTGTATAATTACAGTTTTGTATTACACAACAGCTTTGAAATACCAAACAATAGTGAATTCAGGAATAGTTCTATTAAAGTGATTTACAGCTGCAATGAATACAAACAAAACACATCCCAGAAGACAATTCTCCAATCATTTCACTTTTTATGGACATTGTTACCCTATATTACACTTTCAAAAGCCAAAAGAACATAATTTATCTTGCAGACCTTGCTTACAATGAAATCTAACCACTGTCATTTCCCATTTGATTTATTGGTTACCCCCATCTTAAATATTTTAAGGTATTTTAGTCCCTCTCCACATTATTTGGTAGTGAAATAACAAATATTTTCCCTTTACTATGACACATTTACTTTTCAAAGAATCAGCATGTACTGCAAAAATATCAATTGACTGGGACACCTCATGCAGAAACTTGGATGTGATGTTCAGTTGAACATCTCTGCAAAGTCGCTTTCCTGACTTTACTAGGTTTCTTACCACCACACAGCACTGTCTTTTCTATGTGTGATTTTCACTGGCTGGCTCAAAGGCTACAAGGTATAGAACATGGCGTAACATTCCATCTTGTAATTCAACAAGAGAATTATTTCTCTTCTGTAACCTGGTGCCACATTCTGCATGATACAGAGTATCATGGACTAGGAAACGAAAGTATCTAGAACACCTGTCTACTTGTCTTACACCAATCAACTCTTTAATGGCACAAATGTATGATTCAGGCACACTGTCTGTAGAAGGGGCACCAAAAACTCTGACATTTCCACTTAAGTGTTCTGACCTTTCACTTAAATTGTTGCTATTCTGGATTTCAGAAAAAAGATTTCTGATTTCATCATTTGCATTCTTCAAGCATGTTTCTGCTTTTTTTGAAGGGCTTTTCCACCTAAGAAATCTAATGTTAGGTAACATTACATTTAAATATGCTTTTCTAGGTCTGCATTGTTTCACTGAATGCTCCACTAATTTCTCAGTGTTGTTTGCACATATTTATAACTAAAAGGTAACAATACATTAAAAATAAACATAAATACAATAAATATAATATACATTATTCCATCCATCTATCCATCCATTCATTATCTACCGGTTTTCCGGGTTGGGTCGCAGAGGCAGCAGTCTAAGCAGGGAAACCCAGACTTCCCTCTCCCCGGCCACTTCATCCATTCCTCTGGGGGAATTCCGAGGCGTTCCCAGGCCAGCCTGAAGACATAGTCTCTCCAGAATGTCCTGGGTCTTCCCCGGGGCCTCCTCCCAGTGGGACATGCCCGGAACACCTCACCAGGGAGGCATCCTGACCAGATGCCCGAGCCACCTCATCTGGCTCCTCTCGATGCGGAGGAGCAGCGGCTCTACTCTGAGTCCCTCCTGAATGACTGAGCTTCTCACCCTATCTCTAAGGGAGAGCCCAGCCACCCTGTGGAGGAAACCCATTTTGGCCGTTTGTATAGGTGACCTCGTTCTTTCGGTCACTACCCACAGTTCATGACCATAGGTGAGGGTAGGAACGTAGATCAACTGGTAAATTGAGAGCTTTGCCTTTTGGCTCAGCTCCTTCTTCACCATGACAGACCGATGCAGCGTCCGCATCACTGCTGATGCCGCACCGATCCACCTGTCGATCTCCCACTCCATCCTTCCCTCACTTGTGAACAAGACCCCGAGATACTTAAACTCCTCCACTTGGGGAAGGACCCCCTCCCCGACCCAGAGAGAGCACTCCACCCTTTTCCGGCTGAGGACCATGGTCTCGGATTTGGAGGTGCTGATTTTCAGCCCAGCCGCTTCACACTCGGCTGCAAACTGCTCCAGTGAGAGCCGAAGGTCACGGTCTGATGAGGCCAACAGAACCACATCATCTGCAAAAAGCAGAAACCTAATCCTGAGGTCACCAAACCGGACACCCTCAATGCCCTGGCTGTGCCTAGAAAGTCTGTCCATGAAAGTTATGAACAGAATCAGTGACAAAGGGCAGCCCTGGCGGAGTCCAAACCTCACCAGAAACGAGTCCGACTTACTGCCGACAATGCAGACCAAGCTCTGACACTGGTTGTACAGGGACCGAACAGCCCTTATATGGTAGCCCAGCACCCCATACTCCTGGAGCACTCCCCACAGGACTCCCTGAGGGACGCGGTCGAATGCCTTCTCCAAGTCCACAAAGCACATGTAGACTGGTTGGGCAAACTCCCACGCACCCTCCAGGACCCTGCTGAGAGTATAGAGCTGGTCCACTGTTCCACAGCCAGGGCGAAAACCACACTGCTCCTCCTGAATCCGAGGTTTCGACTATCCGACAGACCCTCCTCTCTAGCACCCCTGAATAGACCTTACCAGGGAGGCTGAGGAGCGTGATCCCCCCTATAGTTGGAACATACCCTCCAGTCCCCCTTCTTGAAGAGGGGGACCACCACCCCGGTCTGCCAATCCAGAGGCACCGCCCCCGATGTCCATGTGATGCTGCAGATGCGTGTCAACCAAGACAGCCCCGCAACATCCAGAGCCTTGAGGATCTCCGGGCGGATCCCATCCACCCCTGGGGCCAAGCCACCGAGGAGCTTTTCAACCACCTCAGAGACCTCCACTCCAGAGATAGGGGAGTCCACCGCCAAGTCCCCAGACTCTGCTTACTCATTGGAAGGCGTGTCGGTGGGATTGAGGAGGTCTTCGAAGTATTCCTTCCACCGACCCACAACGTCCCGAGCTGAGGTCAGCAGCGCCCCATCCCCACCATAAGCAGTGTTGATGCTACACCGCTTTCCTGCCCTGAGCCACCGGATTGTGGACCAGAATCTCCTTGAAGCTGTCCAGATGTCGTTCTCCATGGCCTCACCAAACTCCTCCCATACCCGAGTTTTTGCCTCAGCAACCACTGAAGCCACGTTCCTCTTGGCCCACCAGTAGTCATCAGTTGCTTTCGGAGTCCCACAGGCCAAAAAGGACTGACCGATAGGACTGCTTCTTCAGCTTGACGGCATCCCTCACGGAGATTCGGGGATTGCTGCCGCAACAGGCACTGACCACCTTACGGCTACAGCTCCGGTCACCCGTCTCCACAATGGAGGCGTGGAACATGTCCCATTCAGACTCAATGTCCTCCGCTTCCCCCGGGACATGGGTAAAGTTTTGCCGGAGGTAGGACTTGAAGCTCCTTCGGACAGGGGATTCCGCCGGACATTCCCAGCAGACCTGCACTATATGCTTGGGTCTGCCAGGTCTGACCGGCTTCCCCCACCAGCGGAGCAAACCCACCACCAGGTGGTGATCGGTTGACAGCTCCGCCCCTCTCCTCACCCGAGTGTCCAATACATGCGGCCGCAAGTCCGATGGCATGACCACAAAGTCGATCATCGAATTGCACCCTAAGGTGTCCTGGTACTAAGTGCACATACGGACACCCTTATGCTTGAACATGGTGTTTATTATGGACAATCCGTGACGAGCACAGAAGTCCAATAACAAAACACCACTCAGGTTCAGATTAGGGGGGCCGTTCCTCCCAATCACGCCCCTTCAGGTCTCACTATCATTGCCCACATGAGTCCCCTGGATTTCTAAGTCCCCAAGCAGAACAAGAGAGTCCCCAGGAGGGGCGCTCTCCAACACCCTTTCCAAGGACTCCAAAAAGGGTGGGTATTCTGAACTGCCATTTGGCGCTTAAGCGCAAACAACAGTCAGGACCTGTCCCCTCTCCCAAAGGCGAAAGGAGGCTACCCTCTCGTCCACCGAGGTAAACCCCAATGTACAGTCGCCCCGCCAGGGGGCAATAAGTATGCCCCTCCTCCTTAGCGCCTCTCTCCGTGAGCAACTCCAGAGTGGAAGAGGGTCCAACCCCCCTCAAGGAGACTGGTTCCAGAGCCAAAGCCGTGCATCGAGGTGAGTCTGACTATATCTAGTCGGAACCTCACAACCTCGCGCACCAGCTCAGGCTCCTTCCCCATCAGAGAGGTGACATTCCATGTCCCTAGAGCTAGCTTCTGCAGCTGAGGATCGGACCGCCAAGGTCCCCGCCTTCGGCCACTGCCCAACTCACACTGCACCCGACCCCTTTGGCCCCTCCTACAGGTGGTGAGCCCATTGGAAGGGGGACCAACGTGCCTCCTTCAGGCTATGCCCGACCAGGCCCCATGGATGCAGGCCTGGCCACCAGGCGCTTGCCATCGAACCCCACCCCCAGACCTGGCTCCGGGGGGGGGGGGGGGGCGGGGCCTGGTGACCCGCGTCCGGGCGAGGCAAAACGTAAATCAATGTTTTTACTCATCATAAAGGGTCTGATGAGCCGCACTTCTTCTGGTTCCTCACCCAGGACATTTTTGCCTTGGGTGACCCTACCAGGGGCATAAAGCCCTGGGCAACTTAGCTCCTGGGATCATTGGAACACGCAAACCCCTCCACCACGATAGGGTGTCGGCTCCAGGAGAGGTATACATTATTAATAAGTGTTAATTTATTAATAAGTGTTAATAAGTGTTATTACTTCTTCTTTAAGGTGTCTTGTAGAATCTTGTGATTCTGTTGGAACTATAAGAAATTTACCCTTTTTTGTGTACATGCTGGAATATTAAAAGACACATAATGAATTATATGGAATGTGTAATAATAAACACTTAAGTAAATGACAGTTACCGTTTTGCGCTGCCAAGCTTTTTTAGTGGATCTCGTCATTCTGTAAGTATACAGTTGTGTTCAGAATAATAGCAGTGTGTCTAAAAAAGTGAATAAAGCTGAAAATCCTTATAATAGTTTTTATTTCCATACAATCTAATGCATTGGGAGCACTACAAATTCTATTCCAAATCAAAACAAGAAGAGAAATTCATCACATTTGTGTTATTCTTTTACAGAAAGGGAAGGAAAGGGAATATTAGGCTGTTCAAAAAAATAGAAGTGTCCACATTCTTCTTTACAAACTCAAAGATTCACACTATGAACTGAAAAATGTTTTAAGATTTTGCTTTCCTTTGAATCATTGAACTAATATTTAATTGTATAACCACTGTTTCTGAGGAATGCTGCACATCTGTGTTGTATGGAGTCTACCAACTTCTGGCACCTGTGAACATGTATTCCAGCCTGATTGGACTACATTTCTGGGTTTTGCCTCAAAAACAGCATCTTTGATGTCACCCCACAAGTTTTCTATTGGATTAAGGTCTGGGGATTGGGCTGGCCACTCCATAATGTCAAACTTGTTGGTCTGGAACCAAGATGTTGCTCATGTGTTCGGGGTCTTTTCTTGTTGAAACACCCATTTCAAGGGCATTTCCTCTTCAGCATAAGGCAACATGACCTCCTCAAGTATTTTGAGGTATTCAGACTGATCCATGATCCCTGGTATGTGATAAATAGGCCCGCCACCGTAGTATGAGAAACATCCCCATAACATGATGCTTGCACCACCATGCTTCACTGTTTTCACAGTTTACTGTGGCTTGAATTCAGTGTTTCGGGGTCATTTGACAAACTGTCTGCAGCCACTAGACCCAAAAAGAACAATCTTGCTTCCATCAGTCCACAAAATGTTGCGGCAATTTTTCTTTAGGCCAGTCAGTGTGTTCTTTGGCAAATTGCAACCAGCAATTATCATGTGTCTTTTTTCAGCAATGGGATTTTGCGGGGGCTTCTTGCCGATAGCTTGGCTTCATATAGGCGTCATCTGATTGTAACAGTACTCACAGGTGATCATTGGCTGATTCTTTGAAATTTTGGCTACTCTTCGATCCATTTGAATGGTAGTTTTTGGTTTTCTTCCACGTCTTTTAGGTTTTGGTTGCCATTTTAAAGCATTTGCAATTTTATTTTGATAGCGAGGGTTCAAGGTTGTTAGTAACTATGCTCATTTGTACATACATGCTTCGTACGCAGTCAAGTGCCGTTCATGCGAATATATGTGGAGAAGAAAAGACACCGTGGTTAGAATATTTTTTAAATAGTAAATATTTCAGCCCATGTTAACATTTATTAAATTCCATTCATATTTGTGCCATTATACACTGTCAGTGTTTGTAAGGTGTTGGTTCAAGAAATTTTATCTAATTTGTCATAATCAAACAACAGACTTTTACATATACAGATGACCTCGCCTCATTTGAGTGTTGTCTGCTATTTGTGGAGTTACATTGCTCTAGTTGTTTAATACAATTGCTGAAATTATATCACTTCTTGTGGACAGAATCTCTGTATATAGAGAACATAAATGCAGTGAAAACAAAGAGTACCAGGAAAGGCAAGGTTGGTAAAATGCTTATCCTGATAAAGGAAATTGTGGTTATAACCATTTAATGCTGAAAATATTTAAAGGGGAACAATGTGAAGAATATCAAAATTCAGCAATACTTTCTCTTGTGTTTACAGCACTACCATATCCAACCAAAAGTTTCCTTCTCTTTTTGTACTAAGGTTCCATATAAGGAGTCTACAAATGCTGTGCTGCATCCAAACCCAAGAAAAAGTTATAAGGTATTGAAAGAAATTGAGTACTTTACTTATTCCTCAAGCTACAATGTTCTTAGAAAATAATTGGAAGTGAATGGATTCTGATGCCAAAGGAAAATGACAGCCTTTCATTTTTTCATGGCTGGTTTTCTAAAGCTTTATCAAATCCAGTCCAATTTATTCAGCCGACCGGCAAGTGGTGTATGGTATGTTTTTGTCTCAACAGTGATGAAGACGCTGAAGGATTTGGTAGAAGCAGTTAAGACTTGTCCTTTACCATCACCCTCATTTTCATGAGAGGTAAGGTGCAGACCGGGAAAGCAGGCGAAGGAGAAACAAACTGAGGTAAAAGGGATTTAACATGGAAACACAGAGGGCAGACGAAAACAGAATCACCATAACAGCACATAACACTACAATGACAGAACTAAGGAAACAAACTCTGATGTGGACTTAAATACACCGAACTAACGAAGACAACTCGAAACAGCTGATAAGCACTGGGAATCCACATGAGGTTAACGAGGGGGGCATGGCACAGGAGGATCGGCACGATCGGGGTGTGACACTCATTGAGTTGTTCTTCCAGTGATGTTCAGCCTTCAACTGCGGTTTCAAGACCAGCAGAAATGGTAAGGATGCCTACAGGTCAGGACTTATCAAATTTCCAGGAAGCTACATGAAATTTTTATGGAAGCCCGTTTGAACCATGTGAAGAAAAAAAAAATAGTGATAATAATTAGAAACGTTCTCATTTTTAACATTGCATCTCATAATAATGAGAAACTTTCTTCTTATTATGACTTAGTATGTCATTATTATAAGATACTTTCTCATTATTATAACTTAATTCCTTAATAAAACCAAATTGTATGTTGAATTGTTTGGACAAGTAAACATAGCTGGAGGACTGATGATCCCAAAAAGAAGTTTTGGTCGACTTTTAAGAGTTGGCGGTTGTGTTTTTTGGAAGAGAGACCTTAGCAATGTCAAGCCTTACTGGACAGAAGATAAGCAAAACCCCTTTGGATTCTGAAAAGGTCAATGCACTCATTGGTATGTTGGTACATTTTAAAACGAAGCTTTATGTTATCAATACACGATAAATTACTATGCTTATAATATGCTTATTGTCCATCCAAGTAATGTCAGTTTAATGTGCATTTTATTAGGATTTGCTTATGTGCCTTTTCTAAATCAGACAGTATATTAAGAACTTATCAACTAATCCATTATTAAAATCATTTAGCTTACTTTATAAACCATCACAGTAATTTTTTTCAACATTGTTGCTGTTTAATTCTATATCATCTACCATGTTGTTTCTAGATGCAGTGATAACACAGTTTCCTGGTACTGTACATCACCATCAGAAATCAGGATGATCCTAAGAAGGAAGTGCAACAATGAAGCCTACTCAAGGAGAGCTCAGGAAAGTGTTAAGGAGAATCTTGGTGCTGGTAAAGACAATTGTTTGACAGAGAGTAACTGGACAACACACGACATCTGACAGAGATGAAACAAAGACATTGACTGAAAGACAACCTAAATAAAGACTAAGTGAAGTGAAAAGACAAAGAGATGGTTCTTGAAGTTCCAAACAGGAAGTATATTGGTTGAATTCCATTTGGTGTTAATTTAATGACAGATAATTGATGTCATGTTTGTTTTACCCATAGTATTCATTTGAAATCACTTGCACTCATGTGAACACTTGAAAATTTCATTGTGGAGGGTTTACTGTTCTAAAATCTTTTAATATCTTAAATCTTATTGGTTGTTTGGTTTTTGTTATTTTTGATACTTAAGCCTATGTCAATTTCAGAGATATAATTGTAAGTGCATAATAAATATATAAAAAATATATATATTTTTTTAATATTCAAAGCATTGTTTTTTGTTTCATGTCTGTTCTTGCAATGAATTTTCTGGGCTGGCAACTGACATTGTTCAATTGGTAAAAAATTGCCAGTAATATGCAAACATGCAGCAGTTAGTTGATATGTGTGCATTCAAAAGACATAACAAACAATTTTAGTACATTAGAGCATGTCAATTTCATACAGCTTAGAGAACACTTAATAGATGTTTCAAGTATATTACAAGTAGATTTTTAGCATTAATTAAGTGTACATTTGAGTTGTATTAAGATATTTTTAATTTCATAAAAGTATACTTAAAGTACCATATTTAGTGTCAATATTTTATTTATGGGGTAATTAAAATTTAAATAGATTTAAGTTCACTTGTAGTTAAATTCTAATCTAAATGATATAGCACTAAAATATATACATGCTTCTGAGTACATTTAAAATACATTTCAAGTGTATTTCTCATCTTTTCAATCCGTTATGTTTGTAATGCTACTAAATTACAACTTTACTTCAGATGGGCAAAAAAGCATGCAAGAAGTAGCACTTAATGTGTTTTTAATGAACTCAATTAGTAATTAATTGTAATTTAAATGCATTTAAGTTGTAATAAGACATCCCAAAATAATACACTTTCTTAAAATCATACTTTTTGTGCTAAATATACTTCTAAAAACATACACTTAAGTATACTTTTTTTCCACAAGGGACAGCTTAATAGGTAAACAAAGAACTAATGAACTAGGGAAAACAGAAAACCAGTAATTAAACAAAACAGGTAAGGCTGGTTCCAGGTCAGCCTCAAACCCATGACTGGAAGGGTCTCAATCCCTGAACCACATGCTCAGGTGTCGAGCTATGCGGTGGTTCAGGTGAGAAAGAAAAACAGACCAGGATGAAAAACAGAGAGGAGAAAGGTGGAATGACCAACGACGCCTGCTGGTCAAAACTGGGAACAGACATGAAGGGCAGAGTTGGACATTACTGACCCTGACATAGACATAATGCTAATCCACTGTCTTTGCTGACCTCTTCAATCAGAGTCTGAGCCAATGCACAGTACCTGCCTGCTTTAAATCCTTCTAAAAATAAAAAAAAATCTCCTGCCAGAATAATTATAGCCCAGTAGCCCTGACTTACAGTATATGGTTAGGCAGTTCTTTGAGAATATCACCCAACAATTTCTCAAAACCAATACCGAAGTTCTCCAAGACCCTCTAGTTTGCATACAGATCAAATAGATCTGTTGACAATGCCATCAACATGACCATGCAATACATTCAGGAACACCTAGACTGCCAGACTTATGTCTGGGTTCTATTTGTGGACTTCAGCTCTTTATTTAACACTATCAGCTATGATCTATTATTTGAGAAACTCTCAATATCCAGCCATCCCTCTGCTACTGGATCCATGACAGCCACATTTCAAACCCCATCTTCTTCGGTACTGGTGCTCCACAACTCCTTGTACACCAGCGACTGCACTTCACAAAGCGACTCTGTGATGCACTTGGACCATACAAATAAGGCATTTTGTTCTTAATGTGACCCATAACCTGTCCAATGCAATTGAAAAACAAACAAATTTGTTGCAGGCAAAAATATAGAAAATAAAAATCATACAACAAGCTGGTTGCATAAGTGTGCACACCCTTAAACTAATAATTAGTTGAAGTACTTTTTGATTTAATTACATCATTCATTCATTTTGGGTAGGAGTGTATCAGCATACCACATCTTGACTTGGTAATATTTGCCCACTCTTCCCTGCAAAAATGCTCCAAATCTGAAAGATTGTGAGAACATCTCTTCTGCATAGCCCTCTTCAGGTAACCCCGCAGATTTTCAATTGGATTTAGGTTTGGGCTCTGACTGGGCCGTTCCAAAACTTTAATTTTCCTCTGGTGAAGCCATTATTTTTTTGATATGCATGTATGCTTAGGGTCATTGTCATGCTGAAAAGTTAAATTCCTCTTTATCTTCCACTTCTAGCAGACACCTGAATGTTTTGGGCTAAAATTGATTGATATTTGCAACTGTTCGTAATTCCCTCCACTTTCACTAAAGCCCTATTCCAGCTGAAGAAAAACAACACCAAAGCATGATGCTGCCGCTACCGTGCTTCACTGTGGGTATGGTGCACTTTTGGTGATGTGCAGTGTTGTTTTTGCCCCATACATACCTTTTGGACTTGTACACAAAAAGTTCAACTTTGGTTTTATCAGACCATAACACATTTTCCCACATGCTTTTGGGAGACATGATGTATTTTTTTGCAAAATTGAGCTGGGCCTGGATGTTTTTCTTTGGAAGAAAAGACTTCAATCTTGCGACCCAACCCCATATTTCAGAAATATGGAAAATACAAGAGATTATTGTCACATGTTATACACAACCAGTACTTGCCAGAATTTCCTGCAGCTCCTTCAGTGTTGCTGTAGGTGTCTTGCCAGCCTCCCTGACCAGTTTTCATCTTGTCTTGTCATCAAATTTAGAGGGATGTCCAGTTCTTGGCAACATCACTGTTGTCCCATATTTTCTCCACTTCTTCATGACTGTCTTCACTATGTTCTATGGTATATGAAATGCCGTGGAATTTTTTTGTACCCTTCTCCTGACTGATAGCTTTCAACAACGAGATCTCTTTTATGTTTTATAGGCTCTCTGCAAACCATGGCTTTTACTGTAGGATGCTACTGAGTGAATGTTAGGAAAATTCTTCTAGGGCAGCTGAACTTTGGGGTTAATCAGAGTCACTTTAATTGATGGCAGGTGTGTACCCAAAATGACCAAATGCTGTAATTAAATCAAAAGGTGCTTCAACAAAGTATTAGTTTAAGGGTGTACACACTTATGCAACCAGCTTATTGTATGATTTTTATTTTTTATATATTTTTCCCCTAATTGTTTTTCAATTGAACTGGACAGGTTATAGGTGACATGAGAGGTGGGAAAAAAAATTAAATGATTTATTGTGGTCTCGTTTTTTTACATCATAAAAACCTGGCATTTTAACAGGGGTGTGTACACTTTTTATATTGACCGCATTTATTGTTTTGTGCATCTGGATATTTTTTTGTCTTTACAGTATGTTTAAACTGTATACCTGTGCCACCAAGAAAACACATTTATGGACATGGCAAATATTAGAATTCTGAAAATAATTCAGAGAGGATAGAGGGTGGTTGGATAGGACATTTTTCAAATCAAAATGTGTATACAGGAATCTAAACAAAAAATAAGCATGTTACAAATTATTTTGTTCTACAGCGTCAACTGACTCGAGTATGACCTCATAATTTATGGTTTTACCCGAATGACATCATACCCCGCCTATTCAAACCACACCTGCGCCATCAAATTGCACTAATTTCCGGCGTATTACGTCAACCACACTCGTCGCTGTCCTGATCCAATCAGACGTCGTAAATCGAAATATATGTAAAATAGTCTTGCGTATCAAAATTTCCACGCCCACTTGTTGTTTTGGCCACGCCCTTTTCCTTTTCCAAAAACCAACGGGCGGACAATACCGACGCCTATTTCTCCTTATATAGATAATAACGCCATTTTCTAGGCGTTTTCCGCAGTAATGCGCCGTCCCCTTCCTATTCCTTACGCAACATATCCCCGCCTATCCTCTCTGCCTGTTATCTTTACAGCTCCCCCCACTTTGAGGTAGCAGCCATTTTGATTTGGTCTCCTTTGGGCTCTGGTGGTCTGTAAACCAATTGGTGCACGCTGAAACGGTGAAGCCACGGCGGCGAGCTGTGTCGTCGGGTCCCGTCTTCCTGCTGCGCGTCCTCGCTGCTTTGTGTATCGCTGCCAGCTGGTATTTTAAACGGGAACTTTCTGGCAAATGAAGTCAGAGCGCACTCCCTGAAAAGCCGCGACAGATAGCTGCCGCAGGAAGGTAAGACGACTATCATTTGGTGACATTATTTGATGAAACCGGTGTATTTTGGGAAGAATAATTTAAAAAAATACTTTTATTACCGGTACCCGTTCCGTGACACGGGTCGCCTTTGGCCACAGTTCGCGGAGATTGCCAGGGACATAAGTTAGTTTAGATGAATTCGTTTGTCATTAGTTTACGCAGATATTTTCGGAGATAGGTTGATGTTACTAGCCTTTTCAAGTCACTTGTAGCTATACCAGCTGGTATTATGGTACTATCTTTGTTTTAAGTGTTTTTAATGACGTCAACTACCTGTATTGAGGACAGATTCGTATTGTGAAGTAGTTGGCTACCCTTTTTTTGTCAATCGAATAAAAAAATCTAACAAGCTAGTTAATCAGCCTTTATGAAAGCGGTAAAGTTGTCATTCTGTTCCCAGTAATAATAACTAAACTGCCTGTTTGGAAGCACATGTTGGGTAACTGATTAAATGACTTGATCCAGCGCTTCGTGTATTTCTTGGACGCTGATTGGTACTTAACTGAAGTATTGTGAGTAACTTCGTTTTATCTATCGTTGTACTATACGTTTACCGCTGGCTATTGGCCGCATATCGTTTTAAATTGCACGTATTGAATCCACGTGACTAGTCTGATGGTAACCAATCAAATCCCGGCATTTTCTTCAGCAGCCAATCATGCTTATCGACTTTGTAAGGGTCATCCAATAAGAATAGTTAAAATGGTAGTCTTTAAACACTGGGCTGACGGACGGCTTGGTCTTTTTTTTTTATTATTGTAATACGGTATATCGTGGTGTTATGAAATGTTGCTGACAAAATTAGACGCCCCTATCCCATTCAGCGAAATTTGGGGGATCCCCTCCTCCAGTCTGCAAATCGTATTGTCCAGGACTCCTTATCGCTCTGCGAATTTTAATCGATTATAATTATAATTGTTGGGGGCAAAATCCTTTTTATGGTACCCCTCCTTCCGGTACACTTTTGCGCTCACATGCTGCTGTTAAGGCTAGTTACTTCACTTTTCCGTATGCGCTTTCGTGCTGCGGACGGGCGTGACGGGGGCAGCTTGTGTTCATACTACATTTGGCTGCGGATGGTCATGGCCAATACATGCATACAGCAGTAATATTCCACCAGACCAGGAGAGGGCAGATGTATTTCAACAAATACAAGCAGTGTAGTGATATGGGTATAAAAAAAATTCAACAGTTTTTTAAAGTTATTAGTGTAGGCCTGGGCGTTACTTCGGTTACACGCCATACTGTAGTATGTTGAAATCCTTACAAGAAAATTAGCTGGGTCCTCCCCCTGCTCAGCAATTTTATCACCAAGATTTCAAAATGCCTGAATGTTGCGGCTTTTTAAAATACCGTACACCTCAATCTAAAGTCTGCACATTATGAAAAATTAGCTACAGTAGAGCCTTGGACCTTGAACGCCTCATAACTTGAGCAACTCAGACATCGAACAGATCTGTCAATTTTTTTTTACTTGTACCTTGACCAAAATCTTGGAACTAAAAATTGTTCAGCTCTACCAGTTTGGACCTCGAATAGGTTGGTGAAGAAAAATCTAGCCACATTTCAACCAAAAACTCGGAACACGACAAGAAAGATCTGCTAAAACTTTTACGGACCGAGTTGCTTCTCCCTTCCAAACAATAACCCTTCCGTCCCTCCTCCCCATGTTTATGGCTTTTGTATGTGTGGTTTTTTATGTATGTATTTAATTTAATATTGGTTGTTAATGCTTTTTATCATTAGTTAAGTAGATGGATAGGTTTAAGTAGGCAATCATTTAGGGGTCTGGAACGGATTAAATTTATTTTCATTATTTCTTGTGGGGAAATTTGACTTGGATCTCGACCAACCTTCTGGATCAAATTAAGTTCATGTTCCAAGGTACCACTGTATGTGGGTACCTTTGATCTGAACAACAACTATTCTTCTTCTGCCCTTTTGTCATTGACCTGTGATAGTCCACGCTGCCACCTACTGGGATTACCTAATATATTATTTTGCGCATGTGTGTTTGATGAACACGGATGTGCACAGTTTCCGATAGACATAAAAATCTAGGCTACATGCGCACTGACTATGGCCAACCCCTTATGATGATGAAATTTACGTCACATCCCCTCATCTGCAACTGAAAGTGCACACGGAAAAGTATGAATTGGCTATTAGACGCACAAAGTAGCAACCCCTGTGTGCGAATATAGTGATACTAGTCTTTTGTCCTGTTTCGTAGGGCAGAATGCTCGCTTTGATGGTTAAGAGCATCTTTGCGGTTCAAGGCTTTTGGGAAAATCCGTCGGAAGTGTCGCGAAAAAGTTGTTCTTTTTGCTAGCTTTGGTATAAAGTATAAATAAATATGTAACATATTTATTATATTCAAGTATTTAAGTAAAAAGAGCTCTTGTATTGGAATCTGTGTCTGTATTGGCAGTTGTGTATCGGAATCAGATCAGAACTGAAAAAATGTGGATCAGCCCATCCCTGCTAGTAAATACAAACAAAAAACTCTATGTCCAATTTGTGGGCTGCTAGAGGCATACATAAAGTACTGTTCCACCTCATTTATACGTCATGTTTTAAGCTTTCTTGAGGTATTTTGCAGTTCAATTTGAATATCTTCCAAGCGAGGATAAGCAAGTGGCAAATGTTTAAAATATCCCACAGTGTTCTCCCACTGGCCACAGTGTCACTTCGTAGCAATAGCAGCCCTTCATGTATCACATGCTGCAGCGAGTGCACAAAGTAGTTCAAGCCAGCAACTCCCAAATCATGCATTGCTTTTTTCAGATAACTTGCATTGTGATTTTAAGCGCTACTCCTACCTCTCAAAGATTGTTTTTGCAAAGATTGCAACCACTGCTATTAGTTGCTGATAAAAGCATAAAATACTTCCAGATTGTCAGCCCCTTATCTGATGCTCTTATGCTCCCCCTACTTCGAAGGGTATGCACATGACGTCACATCAGGCGGGAGTCACTGCGCTCTCACCCACTGAGTAGCAAAAAACTGAGTAGCACTATCAGCATTCAGCTTGAATGTGGTAAAAATCACATCTGAAACGGGAAAGCGTACGGTTGACTGTAGAAAATAAGCTCCTATTTCATGTTAAATCGATCTTTTTAGAGACTGCCAAAGTCTAAATAAGAAAGTATTGGATCTAAATATCGGATTGGTGCACCTCTATTTACTAGTTTTGAAATATTAATGTTTAGGACTCTGAGGTAGGTAGCTAGCTAGTTAAGTAAATAGTAAGGGCGCTTTTCCACCGCACAAAGTACAGTACTTTCGGTACGGTACTTTCGGTGCTTTCGCTTTTCCATTGTCTTCCGGTCGAGTACCAGTACCGAAATCTCGAGTACCGAAAGTGCCAAACCAGTTGGGGTACTTTGGTAATTCGGTACTTTGGGGGTGGGACTTGCAAACGTATTTGCTAGGGGTGTAACGGTTCACAAAAATCACGGTTCGGTTCGATACGACACAGTGGTGTCACGGTTCGGTATGTTTTCGGTACAGCAAAAATAAAAAAAAATGCCAGATAATTTCTTTGATTTTTTTTGATAATTGCATTAACGTTACTAGCCATTTTGCAACGAGCTAGTGCAGCAAATGCCTGATTGACTGGAGTAGTGTTTGAGGGTGGGAGGGGCAGTCAGCACGGTGCCTGTCACGTCGTTTAGGCTGCCTTGTTGAGCGTAGTAGCACTGAAAATATTATATTTTACACACTTTATTCTCTTTTATTTTTTTCAAATATAACCCTCTGGAGTCTAGGGGTAGGGAACACACTTTCACTGACTGGGGCACACATTTCATTCAATATCATAAACTTAATTCATGGCAAATAAATTATTTCTTTTATATTCTTATATATTTTTTTTGGCA